CTAATTGCCATTTTAGCAATGTTTATTGCTTGCATAAGTGTTAAACTTTATTTGTCAAATTACTCTATCCATATCCTCTTATTGCAAATCATGTAAATGAGTTATTCAATAAAAATTGAGAATTGAACAGAATAGGCTTAAATGATGAATATTGAAATGTTCTGTAAATGAGACGAAATGTATTTTTTAAAATCATTTTCTGGTTTTTGTATGCACTTAACTATGATGTTAATTGTAAGTAGAACAATTATGCTATTACTATTGAACAGTTTTGAAAACGAAGTTGGTCCAAGTTATTTTACTTACCGATTTAATGCGTATATTCACGTTGCAACAAGTTAATCTTAAATAATTAAAATAAGTCTCTTATTGACACATGTGCATTCTATGAGAATTGTCTTGATATTACCTTAAGTCACAAGCATTATAAGCAAAGATGGATGATGTCTAGGAGTGGAACTCGTTAGCTGGGTGTATCTGCATCCCAAAGTTGACGTTCACTCTGGATTATCCAGATACATCCAGATGAACAGACTTAAATGGGACGAAACGCGCGTCCTGAATTCCACTCCTAGTTTTTATAATATAATCAAAACAAGGAAGCAAAGTCAGCCACTCGAATAAATATCCGTATAGCGTACTTCTAAAGACAGTTTATTGTTCGAGATGATGATTATACTGAAATACTTCTTATCGGCTAGCACTGATAAAATCAATTTTAATACGAAAAAAAACACGTGTTCGTCATTCCAAAAGCTACTTTTACTTAAACATTAACCGGGAATCGTATATAGCTATTAGCCGTATTCTTCATTAAATTTAAACAGGTTGATCCATAGCTAGGTTGAAAACCTCAACGGACCAGTAGCAATTTTATCAGTAACCTTGCTTTTGTACCTCTTTAGTAATGTAAAACACTCTCTTTTCACCTAAGGTTGTTAGGATTGAGCAAACTGGAAAAAGGCCGACAACTATACTATGAAATATATATACCAGTCATCCACCACATGGAGAATTATGTAGTTACAGTAATGCACGAAAATGATTTGCTCTTTTTAGTGAATTCACTTAATTATTTTGAACTGGTTTCTGAATTTCGTATTAACTTGCCATATAAGTAAAACATGTATACATATTTATATTTCTTGAAACAAATTGTGATTACGATTGAAAGTCAAAAGAAACAGTTCTATACGAAATAAATAGAATCCTTGGCGAGACTATAATTTATGGATGACCTTTGAGCGACTCTAAAGTGACCATGAGAATGTCCACCTAATAACTAGGACTAAATGAGAGTTATAAACCAGTGTGAGGAATCAGAATTATGATTTACAGTTGATTGTTAGGATTAAGAATTAAATATAAGGTTTTCATCACGAACTGACATTGGCGAAAATGCCAAAACTCAATTTATCCAAATGGATAAGTGAATTTCGCGCCAAAATCCGACATCTGTTATCTTATACCTGATTGGTTGGTCCATAAATTGTAGTGTCGCCGAATCCCCTATAGGAACACTAAATTATTATAAGATTAGATTTAGGTTTGTTATATCCACGCATAAGATGGATTTAATAGTGTATTGATAAACATATTTATAGAAATACATTTATAGGTAAGAAATAACTATTTAAATGATAAAAATGAATTAGTTAATTCGTCTGAAATTTAGAGCATGAGTAAATCATCTAAGTGGATTTTTGTTAATAAAAAAAACTAAAAAAGAAAAACTTATCAGGAAAATAAAAATAAATTGGATAAATGGTTATGAACATAAAAATAAAACGAATTATCCTCTCTACCGACCACCTGTTCAAATCAATTTTATTTCTTTGCATTTGAACTAATGGAGAAGAAAAGTCGATAAACAGAGATCAGTCAGTTAATGTTTTATTTTAAATTAATTAACTTTTGTGTTTCTAACCGGAAACGATTTATTATTTTGTTTAATGTCTTAAATAGTAAAAGGTAATTAATATTGATCAGTTTTTGGTTGAAATAAAATGAAAGTTTAGTATACATCAGTCGGTGATTTCTAAACTCTGACAAAATCAACAGTACTATTCACTTATATTATTGTTTCACTGTACTTACCAATATTTCAGTATCCTGTTAACCAGACAGTTGTTGAGATAGCAATACTAATTTATCTGACTACTTAAGATATAATAATGGAACTAATTCATGAAATAATTATTAAATCACTTGTACATCTATTCTTGGAAAATTCTAATTATCGTAGTTAAAAGTTATAAAATCATTATGTTAAAACGTTTCACAATCAGCTGTTCATGAACAATGTAAGAGGGTGAGATTGTGTAAGGCTTCAACTGACCATCCCTTAGAGCAACACGGGAGAAAATTAATAGTATGAAGTTTGGATGTTCAACATTTTAATGCTATACATTTGAGGACATGAGTTTTGACGGAAAAAGAGAATATCAACCCAGAACTTTGCTATTCATCATGTAGCATAAGACGGATATTCTCCATGATTTGAGATTTTTTCAATATCTTCACAGACATTCACGGCTTTATTGGTTGCTTTCCCAAACAATAAACATTTGTGTTGCGTTCTACCTAACTCGCTATATGATACTTCATTCCGCACTTCATGTATACCTTGATACCAGTGTCACTGATTCCTCGTACTGTATTAAAATTATCTTATTTACTAAAATGAGATGAATTCAAACATGCATTCATTTCCAGTTCTCGAACACAAGATAATTTGTTTAACCACAATTTAATGTTAATATATAGCTTCTATTTTTCGGAAACGGTATGCATAGAATTTGCATAAAACAAACAATCTATTCTTATTTAGTAATAAGTACTAAACAGTATGATTGAAACCTTAATAATTCTTATATGGGGAACATGATTAAAAGCACAGAAACTGTTTTAAGTTCCAGAATACTTAGCTAAATACGTCTAGTATTTAAACTGTTTCTGAGAAGGTGTGATTTAAACTGATTTCGTTGGATTTTTCCTCGACATACATTGTTACGATAAAATTATAATTTGTTCACAAGTTAGTGTCGAAGATATTTATGCGCTTTTACTTAATGCTTATTCAAGTCAGTCAGACGGTGATCTCATTATTCACATAAATTAAACTTTCTGAATAAATTCAGTAATAAAGGTGCCCCAAATCGTGGTCAACATTAGGTCATTCATTGTCGAAACTCACTGATTTTTAATGCCTGCAATACCAGAAAATTTTAATATGAAAATCACTGGTTCAATCTTATTGATTGTATAAAATAATTGTCTCATGTATCATTAACCCGTGCTCATGTAAACTCAAAAAACTTAAATTTTTACATTGCAGTGTCTGTTCTTGAAAATTTAGTATTTAAGATGACTCTTCACTAGTCACCAAGTAACTGACTCATTATTGCTGTGACAAATATGAACATTTCGCTTCCACTTCTCGTTTTTTATTGTATTAAAACGACATAGATTGTAAGAGCCTCATATTTAAATTGTATGTATACGCCTTTCATCAATAACATCATCATTTCCACACCACACCTTTAGGTTATTCAACATTAATACTTTTTCTTAACACAAACGTGCACACGTATAAAAAACATTTAACATGTTCAATCATGTCATTTATTACAAGTATAAGCAGTGCACAGAAGAGAAACACTTCATTGATTTTATCTTTTTTAAACTTCTATCTTGGTTACTCCTTAAAACAAAACAAAATAAATACACGATAGTTAATGATTTAGTGCACACTTATTATTTGTTATCATGGTTTATTTATTACTAAGCATGTTTATATGTTTCACTCATGAAATGTCTGAAGAACGATTAGTAAATATTCATTAATTATTAAGTTATACATTTCTATTGCTCTTATTTTTCAAAAGAGAAAGTAAGAAATGAAAAGAGAGTTCATTTTCATTTCACATTAAAATCGGTTTAACTCTTCATCTTTATTTTTTAAATATAAAACGTTTTACAATTTTTCATTATACAGAATATGAAAATAATTCAGTTATCTATTAAATTTAGTTAAATCGGTTAGCGAAATATTTGAATGAAATGATGAATTTTTATGTCATTGATGGAGGCTTACGGTCTCAGGTTTCAACAAAATCGTATTAACGAACCTTAATGTTTAGATTTTAAAATTGAAAAAGATATGACGAAGATATCGACGAAGCAATTATATTATTCATTATATAGTAATGCGTTTTGTAAATTTCCAACCTCATGTTTTAGCTGAATTATTTCGATACCAACTCTACTTAGTGTTAACAAAAGTAATATCTACAGAAGTAAAGCTTAAGAAAATAGTTATGATTATTAGATACTTTGAACAGCTTTGTTTCAATCCTTACATTAGCTAGTAACCAATAAACAGTTTTAATAAAATAGTGTACATCCCTATACTAAGTACCTTTTTGAATTGCTCTCAACTATATTAACATAGCATGAGTCGATTGTTTTTTGGGCTTTAGCCTATTAAATCTGTAGAAAATACATTTGATCAACAGTAAGATTTAGATCATTACACTGAAATCGTGAATAGATTTTATTTAGACCACCATCTAAAGCTTAGAATCATTGGACGGACTCAGCAATGCGCGTCCACGGCCTCGCGCTAACGCTTAACATCTAGACCATTGAATTGATATCCAACGGAATTAACTTTTTACTTTGATCAGTTCACAAAATTGCATGGCCATCTTCCACTGTCTTTGGTGGGTAACTGTCTCATGGTCTATACGGTTTAGCTCCACTGGTCACAGTCTCTCACTAGAACTTCAGAAAATTCCTCTCAATGATAGTCACTAGTAAGCACATGGTCTAGAGTTTAAATGTTTGGACACGAGATAGAAGATTTTAGGTCCTGTTCGCAAGTGTAGGGTTGAGGATTCGCGCTGCTAAAGACTCATATACTAGGATGAAACGGCCGTCCAATGATTCTAGGTTTTCAGTGGTAGTCTAACTTAAATCAGATCGTGTATAACCCTAGATTTGGTTCCGAACGATAACAGCTTCCGAATTAAAAACTATATCCATTTAGGTAACTGGATCATATAAATTAAATCCATATAGCTATCTGACATAATTAGCGCCCATACATAAAGATGGATTATCTTAGAAAAAGCATAGAATCCCACCAGTTTTGGATAAATAAAAACGATTCTTTATTTTACATTATATAGTGTAAGTATTAGAAATCGGTGCGTGAAATAGTATGCCAAATATATAAGTTAAAAACACTATAACTCTTTTGTTTAATTTACGGATTTTCTGAAAATATAAAAAACCTAATATTTATCCTACCAACAGTTTCTAAGCCATCTGCATTAAGATGTGTCCCATTAGAAGTATTGACGAGAATCCTTATCCTGTTAATCGTCTGGTCCGTTAATCAAATACATGTACTAACAAAGGAAAAAATTAAACAATATTTTAGAAAAGTAAACGTTTTTCAACAAAAAACAGGTATTATTTGTCTTTGACTTTCTGTTTTGCTGTCTCTTCATTTCTAATTTTCCGGATCTACTTTGTTCTTCGTTTTTCTTCTGGCTTTTGCGACACTTTTTCGCTATTTATCTATCATTTCTTTTTCACTACATCTCTTAATGTATTTTCATCGTGTAAATAAACTGACAGGTAAATTTAACTCAGTAGCTGAGTTGACAGATCAAAAATACTGGAAACGTAATAATCGTCATTTTTGAAGTCATATATAAGGAAAAAATAAAACGGAACTTAAAAATAAATAATTCAAATAAAAGACAAAAGTTAACGGTTGGGGGAGGTACAGTCATAAGGAAGACAATATCACTGTGACTGCTAATAATCCCATGAACATATTTCCATTTCAATAGATCATACAAGAAATCAAGTAATGAGAATGAAGTGATGTAATTGTTTTTTTTTAAAAGTAATGCATCATAGAAAAGGATCTAGACAAATTTTCACAAACAAGTTTTATTTTAAACTTAATATAGTTATGCGATTACACAATCATTTAAATAAAAAATGAAGAGAAATGAGCGTCAAACCAAAATATCTAGGCAACTGTATAAAAAATTTAACAAAGTAATATGGGCTGGAAGATAAAAATTTACTCTTAGGCAGTGCTAAAAACGGGCAAATAAAAAACAGTCTCAGTCTGTCATGGTTGTCAAACATTTTGTTGTATGATATGAATTAGAGAAAATAGAATGAAAAAAAAACAGGGAGAACAATCACAAAACGACAGTTTGACAATAACGGAAACGTTTAGTACAGTAATATCAAATATACACATAGAGTTTAAAATAAGTCTACTGTAATGGTAGAAGGGAAGATATTTAAACTAGTTTTACATCAATTCACACAAATTTATATTATTTAAAATAAATAAAAGCAAAATTAGAACACATTCGTTATATATGTATATTGAACATACAATAACCGTCATTGTTATTCGTGATGAAAATTATCGATATAACTGAGAATAACAACAAAGATATTAGTCAGTATGCATGATGCAGATTTGAGTTGATAGTACAGTCAAAAATTCGCACCTATAATAACTCTGACAATTTACTCTTGTGTCATGGATAGTGTCTATGAAAAAAACCATATCAAAATATTTTTCTTTTAACATAGCAGTCTCTATTTTCCCTATCCTATGCAGTAGTAATAAAAACTATAATAATACAAGTTCTGAGCAAAGTTTCGTAGAAAATAAAAGCATAACAAGTAACTATAAGGGATGTTTGAGTAAGTCAATTTAATTTACATGTAGTACACTAAGAGAAGACAAATGAACTGGTTAGATATTAAGCATTTGCATTTGTGATACGAAAGCACTTAAACTGTTTTTGATTATTTAATGAAAGCCTGCTGGTAAATTAAAAACCACAATAATTCACAGCTGCTATTTGTCATGGATATAAGCAGATTTTGTATTATTTGCAACAATGACGTCATCTATTTATCGAAAAAGCAAAATAAAGCAAAATATTTAGTATAACAAATAGCTATATATTAGTTATATATTAACTGTTTCCACGATTGACAGTATTAATCAACTCTGTGAATTTAAAAGCTTTAACAAATGCAAATAATTGGTGTTCATTTATCTACGATTAATAATCAGGACAATAACAAAGGAGTTATTTCTCAGGTTTTGTGCTTAAACATTGAATAGTTTGCCATTATACAACAATAACAGATTTACAGGGCACAAATCAGCATAATTCTACGAATGCAATCGTCTAATACTTTTTGTGTCTAAAATATGGCGAATCACAAAAACACTTTTTTATGTAAAGACGTTTTGCCTAAGAATATCAAATACTTGTTTGTAGGAAGATATTTTTCTCATGACTGAAAACTGTCATTTTATCATGTAAGCCAATTTGTACCAATGGTCCAGACAAACCCTATTGCTAATTTACACTGTTTAACTAAGAATAAATTACAATAATAATCGTTGTAACAATAACGTGGACCCAACAGTAGTATTCGAGGTCTCTGAACGAAACAACTAAAACAAGTTAACTTGATATGATAACCCAATGCAATTCTTTTTCGCTCTTATCTTACTTATTTCTTACTACAAAAACAATTCACACTTTTCATAAGTAGACCCATGAATATAAACATAAAAGGCCGTCAATGCATCTTTTTTGAACATGTAAAAATGAGTTCCATCTAGAGAATGAAAAGTAAAATTCACTAAATCCAATGAGAAAAATTCCCAAATAAGGCCAAGAAATGAATAAACAACTTACTCATTGATTACTGTCTTAGGTATGGATGCATTCGAGAAACTGCGGATGATGTGGCTTGCAAGGAACGTAATTTAAGTGGTCCTACAAAACATGGTAGGTTGACATTTTTAAATAATACGCATATAACAAACGTAAATAAATAATTTGGAAAATTATTTCAAAATTATGATTTCTCGTATTTATCAATTCTGTTATTTGCATAAAGCTCAATAAGTACCTTCTATAGAATATTACAGAGTCAAATAAAAAGATCCTAGCCAGTAGCATGTATTAAACAGTTACATGTGAATTAAATTCACTACTTTATGTACACATTACATCTCTGATCACTTAATTTCCAGTAATTCAACCTCTATTTCTAACAGTTTTACAATTACTTACAATGCCTTCGATGTTGCTATATGTCTTATATCATCTTCTCTGATTCTATCATGTTGATATCTACTATGATATTTCGCATCTGGAAACAACTTCCGATTCCTTAGACAATGTGATTTTTGAATTAATGACCTTAACTTACAATCCATTGTATAAACAACTTCAGTTTTGTATAAAAATTTTCGTTCCCAGTTTTAACTGTAACAGTAACAATTGATCTTAAGAAAATTTCATCTATTCCAACTGAGGTTCTAACAACTGCTTATTGGCTTAAACATCAGATATAACTGGCATTTTATTATGAGTTATTGACTACACGATGAAATCTGAAGTATTTGAACGATAACTGTATGTATAAAGTTAAATTATTCAAGCAAAACTCTATAATGAACGTATTTTATAAAGAACAACTGATCACCTTAAACTTGTTCCTACTCAGATAACACACTTGTACATCAAAGTATAGGGCAAAATAAACAATTACATACAGTATGACTTATTTGCATGGAATCATATTCGAAGGTCACTGAACATCCAATAGCTTCTGCTCGTTATGATACTTGAACACTTAGTCAATAACCCAATCTTAATCCATTGTTCAATAATAGACTGTGATCTGTTTATAATAATTATAAATACAATTGTGAAGCTTCAAAAAATTATAGAGTCAAAAACGTGATTTTCTTTGTTCTAGTATTATTTCCATTACTAAATGAATTTGCTGTTTGCTTATTAAGTCGTTCAGATTTATTAACACTAATAATAGGTGTATTATTTTCACTAGGTTTGTTCATGGCTTTATTACACAAGTTCTGTAAACATTTTTCCTGTTAAGGTTGGTATGTATTTGAACTTACTGACAAAACCAGAAGTTACTTCTGGAATTACCCTGTCAAATGTAAGAGACTATAACCCTATTCTTATACTAAACAACGGTAATAATCTACGAAATAATTGGGAACTAGCATATCCGACTTATACACATCCTCAGCAACTTATATCTGTAAAGTCTAACATTGAACTGAGACAAATATTGAGAACCTCGAAGTTTACAAAGTTCATTGGTAAAAGCTTTATATAATTTTAAGAACATGTTTTAATAGGTTATATTATCTTTAAGGAAGTAAGTTTAAACTTAAAACTACCTGAACCAGTTTCTTGTGTATTTGATGCGTTGTTGAATTCCAGAATATTTACAGCATCTGCAAGTGATGTATGTGAAGTGATAGGGTAACTATGAGCACCTGATACAGGATTATTCACGTTACCATTGCATAACTGTAAATTTGAATTACTTGCACCAATACCTCCTGTTCCACTTCCACTAAGGAGAGCAGCTGCAACAGCAGCTAACTGATCATGGCCTTTAAATGAACAGAATAATACGTGTAAAAAGATTTCAAGATTACTTGTACTCATATCAGTAGGAAATATAACTTTTAAATTGCTATATCTTTAACGGTGAATCGGAAAAATAGTCAACTATATTACGATAAGAATGTATAATTTATTTGCTTCTATATAATAGTGAGTAATGAAGTGTTTATTCTTTTGTACGATGTTCTTAACCACTAAAACCAAACCTTTACTTATTGTTTCTAAAAGGTTATTAATAGAAACGTTATGATTTCATCAGTAATGACTATACCCAGATATTATCTGACATCTTTATATTTTGCAAAAGTAAGCAACTGTTGTATAATGTGAATTATTTTATGGGAATTAAGTATGGTTCGATTCAACAAAGTTGATCTTAAATATCAAATTTACTCTTGAAAAGCGAAATAGTACAAAATTGTACCCTCTGATAGCTTACAGAAGCCAAAATGTGAACTTTCTTATTTAATTGTTAAAAATTAATTGGAGAAAATAAATCTGGATAATGTGAGTGAATTATATCACAACACTTCCTCATTTCGACTAAGTGACACCAATAGACTAGCTTTCGCCCAGATTATAAGCCCTTTTGGCAATGTTATTAACCATCAGGATGTACTAAAATTCTGTTTACATGTATTCACGATTTATATGAACAGCCTAGATCCCAGACTTATCAGGAATCGAAATTATGAAGTTTGAGTTTCACGGTCGGTAAATATTGTATGGTGATCTGGCCATCACTGAACTTAGGTAAATAGACAAAATTGATTCATTATTCCAACAACTTACTGGCTGCATGCAACGTAGAACCAATCGGCAAGGATAAACCAGGAAGTCCATTCCCAGTAATACCGCCAGCGATTTGGCTTAAAGGAAGAGTTAGATTAAGTTGCCCATTATTTGTAGCTGATCCTGTACTGACGGCTGCAGATAAAGCTGCATTTGCCGTCAAAGGATATAAAAGTCCGGATATATTATTATTTGGTAAATACGTAGATAAATTCGCTGAGCTAAAAGATGGGATAGAATGAGATAATTGATTATTTGGAATGGAATGTATTGAATTAGCTTGAGATAATGCAGAATTCACTGTTCCAGGAAGTAAACAGTTTGTTGCCAGTGATACAGGAAGTACCTGAGATTGAATCTGAGGTAAAATATTAGTTGACGAATATTTATTTGGTGGTAATATTTGAGCTGCAGCTGCTGCAGCTGCCGCTGCTGCAGCCGCTTGATGATTTAATACAGTAAGTGACTGATGTTGTAATATGAGCTGTTGGTGTTGTTGAACTTGTTGAATATGTGCTTGCTGACGATCTTTATCTGAAGTTAAAAGCAAAATGTTATCTAATAAATCTGTCACTCTAGGTATACACATACTTAATTCTATTAATTAAACCTGTTAAATTAGACACACAAAGTGACTTCACCGAAATTGTGTTTTTACAACACCAACGAAAAAAGTCAGAAAAGAAGAAACAATTATAAAATAAGCATCAGGGTAAAAAGGTAAGGCAGCGGTTTGAAAACATTCAACACATGCAAGAAACCTCCAATCATCAGGTTAGTTTTGGTCACCTATATCAAATAAATCACCATACATACAAACATCGTGAAAATGATATTGATGAATGTTTAATTAAATTAAAAATGACTCTGTTGTACGTCTACATATTTTCCACTTGTGATTATAATTCATGTACTTTTATCTGATTTTACTTATTCTTAAAACTACACCGCATTATTGGTGTTTTTCAAAACAATAAAATACCATTGGTTTCCATAAATAGTAAAGAGAAAGCGTAACCATTTTAATTAGCTATGAAATAGTAAACTTTTTGAATAAAAGTCTTCAATGATAAATTTTTTTATGTTGAAATTACAGGAAGACATAATGAGCAAATAATAAGGTATTTGTTAAACTCTTTAACAGCATTTCAAAGAATCTATAACAAACAAGTTAGTTAGCTGTTGTTTACCGACGTACATTAGCATAATAATTACTACTGGAATTAGCCATGGGCTTAACTAATTGAAGAAAAATTGTGACTTAATCTAAGCTAGTATAACCATTCAATAGGGAAACTATTTGAGCAGATGATCTATAATCATAAGAAACCAATATTATGAATTGTCATCTAGTTACACAACACATCTTTTCGAAATTCACATGAATCGATCAAGCAGTAAAGTGTAAAAATAAATTACAATCTTTAAACATGGAGTTGCATCATGCCATTTTCAGTAGCTACTAAATGAAGTCTAAATAAATTAAGTTGAAATTATACTAAAACATATATCAATAATACAAATAAAACGAAAAATCCAGCTGCAAGTTTTTAGTGTCACTTGTTAGTGACAAGTAAAGCAATTATCTCTTTGTACAATAATGTTCATCTCTGTTCACTTCATTATCTTAGATCATAGATAAAAGCATAAATCAAGACAAGCTCACAATTAGAAATGCTACACAGATTCATGATTTATTCCAAATTAACAGAGTATCATTTTTGTGTCATTAACTACTCAATCGAAAAATTTACAAAACGTTTATAAAAATGTATTTCGTTCTGTCATTTACACACACAGATAAGTTGTTACAACAATTTTAACATCATATCATTCGTTTCAACCAAGCTTTCGGAATTGAAATGAAAATTCAACTAATTTACCAAATTACCTAATTACTACCGCTGTTAACTGCAGACATAGAAAATGGTTTATTTCATTTATTTTCTATAACAGGAACCCTAGGGTTTAATCATAGTTTCAACTTCATTTTCTTGACTAAACGTCCTATTTTACTAGTGATGATATACTAATTTGTTTTCATTAAGTTCGCTTTTTGGATAGATTTGGAAATTCCATTCAGTTTTTACTGAACAAGTCATTTACTAGATACTTTCTTTAAACAGTTTTACCTTTTTATAAATATCAAGTACTTAACAGTTTGTGTGATATTATAGTCAAGTGGATGTCATACCGTGTCGTTCTTTATATCATTTCTAACAAGACCATATTCCATATTTCCTTTAATTATTCAAAACTTAAACGAAGTACTTAACTAGAAATACATCGTATCCCATAGAATCACAGATTCTTACGCAAACCATCTTTCTAAACTATCAATTGTCTCAAAATTGTTCACTGAAACATTATCCAAAGCCTATTACTATTAAGATCATGGTCTCGTAGTTAAGTCCATTGACTAATGCAGTACACATACTCAATGTGAAAATTAATCAGCTTTACTGGAATCACTTTCAATAGCTAATTTTGGGTCAGATATCGATATTAGAATTATGTGTTGTTTTGTATAATTTCAAAATCACCTTAGACTTATCCAGAAGCATGACTTATTTAAATGTATATAATATATATATGTATATATATATATATATATAAGTTGTAGGCGAAATGAAATTAGTTGCACAGTTGTTTAACATCTTTGTTTAAACTAATATCATATAGTTAATGTTTAAATTATGTTTTAATAAATTCGACAACTAAAATTCAAGTAATTCCAATCATCGTTCATTTTCCGTGAAGAAGTTCGGACTAGGTTGCTGGGTGAATCGTTGGAACTATTTGAATCTTAATCGGTAGGACTGATCAAATATAATGTCTATTTTCCACGTCTTTTATACACTCGGTGTCTAATTTTTGTCAAAATATTCGTTGACTTTCGATGGATATTATTATAAATAATACGACCTAAGCATTAATAACGATCAACTACTTATAAACAGTTGGTGATATGCGCAACTTTATGCAGAGAATAAATTGGAACTTTCCCACAAAACATTATAGCCAGAATTTAAGTTCAATATAAGTACGTTCATATAAGTTTTAAAGTAGGAACAGTAGTTAATCAGCTTTTTTACTTGAAATCTTCATTTCAAAAGTTTCACCAGTCTATACTATTGTAAACCAATTCATTCCAATGTAAACACAACACTTTGGTAGACGAGATCGATTTCCTTTTGAAAAGGATGTAATGTAACCAAAAGCTTCAAGCGTCAATAGAAAAAACCCCGTAATTAGATATTATATCACAAACAATAAGCATCATTTTTAAACATGGATATCGTCATCTCGACTACGCTGTTAGAAACAAGCGCTTATACACTTTAAATAAATTGAAAGGATTGTTCGCTAATTATCAGGATTATAACTGAGCGGCGGGTACGTGGGTCGGCTGCAAAACATTATTCTAAAGCGAACTTTTCTGTTATTTTTTAAGCTGATGCCAATACAGAATGAATGTTATCGGCAAACAACAGAAATCTTCACAAGCTGCAAAAATAAACACTAATCAGTACCACCCTGGTAACCAACTTCTAGATAGATTCCCCAAAGTTTCATTGGGTAATTTCATTTATAATGAGTTAATCAGTGGCCATAAGCTTTAGGTGATTATCATATAATGTTAAATGACTGACGTTGAAAAATGATAACCATTTAATGCTAAAGAATAACCCTATCCCTTAACGTGAAGATTTCGAATTCAGGTCTTTGTATATTCATGAGTGGCCACTACTAGATAATCTCAGTCGTCCTTCAGCTTATTTCAATTTTACCACTAGTTAGACAAAATCAAATAAAACACGAAGTGGAATCACATTACTATCGTACAAACAATTCTTTGAGATTCAACGTAAAAACCTACTTTCCGAATATATTTACATTTTTGAAATTAAAAATACTGATGAAAGGAAAGTGATCTGTGGTTCATAATGACTAGTAGAATAATAAATCACCAGATATAAAATATTATTCAAGGTACCACAAACTTTCATTGGAATCTGAAAACACTAAAAAACGATTCCATGTTTATCTGCAAGCAAATGTGTGAATCATAAATACAAAACTACTTTATTTTATTGTTACCCTTAGAAGAGAATTTTGTCTGAAGCATTTTGGACTGTGAAAATATGTCGCTTAGTGATTGTATAAACCCAATAAATGAAAATGTTTTTGTAAACTAACGGTTTATGGTTCGTCTTATGGGCTGCACACTTCATTTTAATTTATAAGCACATCAAAACTTAAGATAAATAGTATAATTTCGAGTGGATTGTGAATAAAGTTGACAAATTATTTTCACTATTCAAATGATTTGTACTCAATAGCAAAATGTCCAATATATGTTTACCTCATAGATGATAAGTTGGCTAATTCTAGAATCACTAAAATAAGAACATGTGTCATTTGAAAATCAACTACCAACTTTATGTATTTTAAGTACTTCTTAGAGTTTTTCTTTGTTTGGATCAAGTTTGTAAACTTTTTGAAATCAAATATTATTTTTTAGTACAACGAACCATGAACATTTTAAAGTGTAGAATTGGGTCAATGTCATATCTATCATATTCACAAATACAGCAATGAACAACAAACACAAGTTTAATGAGTTCAGTTTTTCCGAATTTATATGTGTGATTAAAAATTTTTTGAACAGTTGAACTATTAAAATTGAGAGTTTAAAATTGTTAGCCATATACAACCGGTATTAGGTCATTTTTACTTTTTTTTGTCGGAAAGAGGAAGTTCAAAAAATTATTCTCCTTACAATATCATATTTCGTGTTGTTTGATCTGATAAGCACATGAATATTTTCATAGTTCAAATTACAAACTGATACTAGTTAAACAACCATTGAAAACGTAGAGTCACTGGATGGCATTTTCGTCTTATAAAGGAACTCCTTAGCAGTGGACATGCATGACCTTGTGTGTAAGAGTCAAACACAGGACCTTCGGTCTTGCATGCGAATGCTTAACCTCTAGATCTTTGAGCTAGTATCCAACGGTGTTATTGTCTAACTCAGTCAATCACGGGCTGAATTCTCGGATTTGGAGTTGTGAATGTGCACTACTGAGGAGTCCCACACTAAGAAAAGTCTATTATTGGTGTAGCTAAGATCTATTCGTGTCTAAACTATGAAAATTAATATTTATCAAACAGCGGTAGCAGGATTTCGAAGATCGGAATAAGAATAAAATAAGAGAAATGAAAACTGCTTCATACTAACTAATAAGAAATTGAGAATCCTTGAATTTAAATCTTCACATTTTCATATTCTCATTTCTATTAATTTATACTGTATGTTGCAATCGTATTCGAACATATAATGAGATCTCAGTTCATTATTCTTAAAAATAAGAGTAGAAGGGACATCAGTTAGATTGAAGGGCTTGAGAATATATATTAGCTTTGAATAGCCAGCTTGGGTTTTAATGGAATTTGCAAATCCCACAAAAAAACAATTTTTGAACCACGAGAATGAAAACACTTCAATCTGATAAAGAGTCTTAAATAAA